TCAAGTCTTTGAATGGTTACACATCAGGAAAACTAAACTGATCATTTTGTGTTGGTATATGCATGGACCGAGTGGCTGCCATGACTGAACGGCTTTCTGGTTTTACTACTCGGATCAAAGAGGTCACTTCTGAATGTGAGTCTACGCACTGTCATCCACAGAAAAATGCTAGCTAGCCACAAGAATGTCACCCGAACTTAACAACATTTTGCAGGATGTGATTAAAGGTATCAACCACATTAAAGTACATGCCCTTAACTCACATCTGTTCATGTAGCTCTGTGAGGAGATGGATGAAGAGCACACACATCTTCTCTTATACACAGAAGTGAGATGACTTTCTAAAGGTAGATCACAGACCAGAGCTTCTGAATTACGAGCACCACTCCAGAGATTTCTTTAAGAAAAAACAGTCACCACTGGCAGCACATTTCGGTGACACAGAATGGGCCACAAAATTTGCTTGCTTGTGTGCCATATTCAACCTGCTCAACAAACTCAATCTGTCCCTTCAGAGGAGAAAGACAACTGTGTTCAAGTCAGCAGAGAAAGTGGCTACATTCAAAGCTAAACTGGAATTATAGGGGTGACGCGTGAACACTGGGATTTTTGGCATGTTTCAAATCTCAAAGCAGAGATTTTGAACGAGACTGAGCCAGGGCCTTCTGTCTCCCAGCTGGTGCATGATCTCCTATCTCAGCTTTCAAAAGAGTTTGAGCTTTACTTCCCAACCATGAAAGACCCCCAAACTGGGAAGGAATGGACCTGTGACCCATTTGTGAATAAGCCAGATGAATCGACTTTATCCATGCTAGAAGAGGATCAACTGCTTGAAATCACAAATGATGGTGGCCTTAAAAGTATGTTTGAGATAATTTTAAATCTCCATGCATTCTGGATTAGAGTCAAGGTGGAATATCCTGAGATTGCCACAAAAGCATTGAAAAGCCTGCTTCCATTGCCAACATCCTTTCTTTGTGAAACAGGGTTTTCTGCAGTGACAGCAACCGAAATGAGATTATGGAATAGACGGGACATAAGCAACACACTTCATGTGTCATTGCCTCCCATCACCCCCAGATGGGACTGTCTGGTTGCAGGAAAACAAGCTCAGGGCTCCCTTTGATTCTGCATTACGGCCAGTTGTATAATTATTTCATTATATATTACAATGCAATAATAATAGAAATAAAGTGCACAATAAATATAATGTGCTTGAATGATCCCGAAATCATCCCTCTACCACTGGGCTGTGGAAGAATTGTCTTCCACAAAACCGGTCCTGATGCCAAAAAGGTTGGGAACCGCGGCTGAAAACCAAGGGTTAATCTCTCTAGAGATAGTAATTTACTCAGCCCCCTCTGTAAGAGGTGGTATCATGATTTGACTCCAGAACCCACTAACCTGTACTGTCTTTTCCAGAATTCTTCAGTTCTTCTTTTTTCTTCTTCAGTGTATCCTGTGTATCACGGCTGCCAGAAAAATTCTTTTAGCGGGCTGCCATTTTATTAGTCTCTTGCTCTAAGAGGAAGGAGACTTAATGAGTAGATATTGTTGTATGAGCTTTCACTGAACACCTGCCCCAGTGCCCTCTTCTGAGATTTGTCATCCTGCTCAGAATCCCTTCTCTAGGGAACTGAACTCAACTCTGTCATCAACTCTCAGCTCCACTGGTTGTCTTGATTTCAGTATCACCTGTACCTTCAGAGGATGCCTTTGAAGCAGGACAGCTAGCACGGCTTGAATATAGATAGTGAGTTTCTCACAGGCAGGCTTAGATAATTAGGCAACTAGATGGTCAGGCATCTGGGGACCATCTTATGGGGACATAACTCTTAAACAACCACACACTGATGGAAATCCAGGCCCAACCTCGGAATGTGGAGCAGCTGGCTACAGGAATTGAGAACAGGATACTTAGTGAGATAATGGAGACATTGAGGCTTGGTGCTGTAAGAAAACTTAATTGAGGAGCAATTTTCCTATGATCTCAAAAGTTCCTCATGACACAAGCAAGCTTAGGAGTAAAATGATAAGAATTAAAACTTGTGATCAAAGCTTAGCTTAGAAATAGGTTGCTCAATCATCTTTGTGGATAATATATAAAGCTTTCTGCTAACAGTAAACATGTGCCCTTTCTCTTAAGGTCACCTGTGTTATCTCTTGCACATGTCATTTCTTTTTCTTTTCTCTCTAATAAACCGTACTTTATTTATTTATTATCTACTTATTTATTTTGAATCGGAGTCTCACTCTGTCACTCGGGCTGGGATTCAGCAGCATGATCAAGGCTATCGCAGCCGTGACCAGCTGGACTCAAGCAATCTTCTGTCTCAGCCTTCCAAGTAGCTGGGATGATAGGCATGCGCCACCACGCCCGGCTAATTTTTAAGAATTGGTTGTAGAGACAAGGTCTTACCATCTTGTCCAAGCTGGTCTCGAACTCCTTGGCTCAGGCAATCCTCTCGCCTTGCCCTCCTAAGGTGCTGGAACTATAGGTGTGAGTCACCACGCCTGGCTGGTACTTTGAACCTCTCTCTGTGATTTGCACTGAAATGCCATTCTGTGGCAAGCTAAGGACCCACAGAATGGCTACACCCCATGCCACCCCACAACACCTCCCTCAGTCCCAATTCCGGAGGCCTCACTATCCAGGCCAGTCTTCCCTCTCTCCTGCCAGAGAAAGAGATGCAAATACCACTAGTCCACTTGGATTCTGTCATTTTCAAATCCAGAGTCTTCCAAAACATTTTTACAACCTTTTCTACCTTATTAACACTATTGCTCACCGTATCTGAATACCAATCAATCCATGCAGTCCACTTTCTTTTATTCTATCTGGTGAAATTTAACTTCCATTGTTTTTTTTTAATTTATTTTTTTAATTTAATTAGTTTATTTTTTTAAATTTATTTTAAAGATGTGGGGTAGGTATGCAAATGTTCATTATGCAGGTACCTTTGTTGATGAAGTGTGCCCCTCCTTCCCCTGGCAGGTTTCCTCAACTGCCAATCTCACTCCGCTCCCCTGGCACTTTCCCACTACTGCCAATTCCACCTTCCTTCCCCTGGCCGTTTCCCAGTACTGCCAATTCCTTTCTTACAGTATTATGATAAGTATTCAAGGTCCACTTGTGTGTGAGAACATATGGTACTCTGTTCTTTGTTTCTGTGATAGACCACTGAGTATGATAGACTCTAAATCCATCCAAGTTCCTGCGAAGTTCATATGTTTGTCCTTCTTTATGGCTGCATAATATTTCATCGTGTATATGTACCACATTTTTTAATCCAGTCCAGCTTTGATGGGCAATATGGTTGGCTGCAAGTTTTTGCTATTGTGAATAGAGCTGCAATAAACATGCGTGTGTAGGTATCTTTTTGGTAGAATGATTTGAGTTCCTCCGGGTATATTCCCAATAGGGGAATTTCTGGGTCATATGGAAGGTCGATTTCTAGCTCTTTCAGAAATCACCACACTGTCCTCCGAAGAGGTTGCACTAGTCTGCATTCCCACCAGCAATGTAGAGGCATTCCCTTTCCTCCACATGAAAATATGGAACGCTTCACGAATTTACGTGTCATCCTTACACAGGGGCCATGCTAATCTTCTCTGTATCGTTCCAAAGTTAGTACATGGGCTGCCAAAACAAACACAGGCTTCTATTATTTATTCATTTCGTCATGCTGTTTTTCAACTAGAAATGCCTGCAGTAGGGCTCCTGCCCTTCCAAATTGGACTCATTTGAAAGCCTCACCTCAAAGTCTCTTTCTTCGTTAATTTCTTCCTTAACCATTCTAATCTTCTTCCTTCTTAGAATTTCTACTGAGTATATTGTCTGATTCACATTACTTATCTATCACTATGATTATATGGAATATATTGCTTCATATCTGCATAGTTAGGAGAACATATCAGAAGGGTGCTTTTCAGAACCCGGGGAGAGTCTTGTCCAAAAACAAGCTCCAGAGTCATTCTTAGAAAACAGAACCACCTTGCTACTCTCTAAATGACATTATTCACCTTGAAAGAAAATTTGTACATTCAGTCCTGCCATCTCGTTATAGTATTCTATTATAGGTGACACATGTGTTAACCTTGTCTCCTTAACAAACCCATACATTTCTAGAGGGCAAGATCCTGTCTCTTACCTGTATCCCCTGTGGCATCTGTAGTAATTCTTTCAAGCAGGTAGCCAATACTCAGTAAATACTCCTTTATTAATTCATTGATAATTTTCAACTCAGGAGCTATATGCTCGAATGTTAATTCTTCATTTGACCAAAGACAAATGATTTTAAGACCAGGAAAGTATTTTCCTCAATTGGTTAATAAGCAAAGATTTTCCCCATAGCTTTCAAGCTATAGTACTAAAAACCTTTCGTGTCAGTGTACTTCTACGTTCCAGAATCACTCTTAGAAGACAGAACCAGCTTGCTACTCTCCAAATGACATTCTCCACCTTGAAAGAAAATCTACGTTGTAAGTCTCATGGTGAATTTAAAAGAAAGTGTTCACAGTTACCGTAGAGTTGGTTGGGTCACTCACTCGTCAACACTGTGTTGCTGTGTGAGAAGAACTGTTTACTTTCCTGACCTTATGTTCTTATAGTGTCATAAATTGAAATTTTGACTTGCTCTGATAAACACTTGGCGCTGATTGTATCCTAACACTAAGCCTCTTGTTTCCTGCACCAAGGTGAACTCCATCCTCAACCACAAAGCTCAGAGCTTAAAACACATAGCTCAGTGTTCTATCTGATAGACATTTCTGTGGTGGTGTGTTACCACAATTGTAGAAAAATGAAGTTAACATGCTGATCCTATGTAGGGACATATTCATGAAGATTCAGAAACATCAGGGTACAATGGGGGAATAGCTAAAATGTAGATTTAAGATCATTATATTAAAAGGAGATACATAAATACAGGGAAATGTGACTTGAATAATTTATTATCGTCTAAGAAGTTATGTAAACTGAGCATTTTTCTGTCCCACAGTGACCAAAAAGGAAGAAGTAAAAATAATTATGGTGAAGCACTACAGAATAGGTTTAGATGAAAAATATGAAGTAACAAAAAAGTGGTCTTTGAATGATCTACAGATGATTGATGGAATAGAAGCAGATACCGTAAGTGACATGTGGAATCATATCCTGGAGATCTTTATGTTGATATACTGTTTCGTATATTCTTGGCATGTGCTAAGTGTTAAGATGACATTATAGTGTTCTTAAGTGGTACTGTTTAATCTACCAGGATGATCTACAGGTTTGGGATTTTTTTTTTTTTAGTTTAAACTGGAATTTTGTCTATTAAATTTAAAAGCATCTTTCCTTAGGGCCTTTTAACAGATTAAACACAATCTACAGTCAATCCTGAAACTTTAAACATAATTTTTTCAAATAAATGATGTTTCTACCACCACTCTCTCCCCATCACAATTTCATCAATAAATTCTGGGAATTCCTTCCCTCATCTTTATTTATTTATTGATTTACTTACTTATTTTTGAGTCAGAGTCTCACTCTGTCACCCAGACTGGAGTGCAGTGGCACACTCATGGCCACTGCAGCCTTGACCTGCTGGGCTCAGGCCATACTTCTGCCTCAGCCTTCCAAGCAGCTGGGACCACAGGCAAGTGCCACCATGCCTGGCTATTTTTAAAAATTTATTGTAGAGACAAGCTCTCACCAAGTTACTCAGGCTGGTCTCGAACCCCTGGACTCAGGCAATTCTCTCACCTCTTCGTCACAAAGTGCTGGGATTACAGGCGTGAGCCACCATGCCTAGCTCTAAATTTTACTTTCAGCAAGCCCACTTCATCCTCCAGAAGGATCATATAACTCTTGGAAATCCTAGAATCTTAGAGTTGAGAGGGGAGAAAGAGTGGACATTACAATCTTCCCTCTTGATGAGGAATTTTCCTAGTCTGTCCTGAACTCTTTTGTTAGTGGAGAACTCTTCCCCCCTTGAACTTTATACACCCACAATTCTTAAGTACTAACTCCTTAGTACTTAGTACTTAGGTTTAGAATGTCCAATCACCTCCGACGCTTACACACATTTCCCACTGGGTAAAGTCCTGTTCATGACCCCACCCCTAATACCCATTGCAGAATGGATGGAAATGTATTATAGCCAAAATCCTACAAATGGTAAGTTAGTTTGCTCTATATCCCTTCTGGATGAAAGCTCCTTTAAAAAGGGGACCATGATTTTTCATCCTTTATCATAGTCACCTGCCTGATAGATATTAGGTACTCAATAAATATTTGTGGTGGTGTTGTTGAATGAATTAAAACTTAAGCTCAATTATTCTTAATCCTAATAAGTACTATATTCTTAGTTTGGTCTATCGTTCCAACTTTCCAGATCTTTTAATATCTTGATTTTTTTTTTTTTTTTTTTTTTTGAGTTGGAGTCTCATTCTGTCACCCAGGCTGGAGTGCAGTGGCATGAACGCAGCCACCACAGCCTTGACCTCCTGGGCTCAGGTGATCCATCTGCCTCAGCTTCCTGAGTAGCTGAGACTGCAGACATGTACTACCATGCCTGGCTAATTTTTATTTTAGTTTAGTTTTGTTTTGTGGAGATGAGATCTCACTGTGGTGTCCAGGCTGGTCTTGAACTCCTAAACTCAAGCAATTCTTTCACCTCGGCCTCCCAAAGTGCTGGGATTACAGGCATGAGTCACCATGCTCAGCCTAACACCTTGATTTTTTAATACCACTATGGTATAATCCAGATTTAATGAGCACAACTTTTAGGACTTCATCCGAGTCAATAATAAAATGGACGAAGCAGGCAAGGCCAAGTACATACCTCTCTGTATTGATGGTTGTCACTACTCCCCTCCAAGTACTGTTACCCGCTACCATCCCACACTTAGTAAACTCTTATGAGGCACCAAGCCAAGCCTCTTTCATATTTATTTTTACATAATCATCACAAAACCTCATGATTTCAATTCTATCTTACTCTCATTTCACACATGCAGAAAATGAGACTTAAAGAGATTGGCTTGCTCAAGGTCACATAATTTTTTTTTTTTGTATTAATAATGGTTCTTTTTTATTTTTAATTAAAGCTCCTAGGTTCTCATTTTCTTTTACTCAGAGAAATAAAAAGATTATGTTCTAACTTCAAATTTTTTTTTTCATTAATCAGTATTTTTTATTATGGTTTTGTGGGGTACAGTTAAGGGTTAGGTGTACAATGACGTTTCATTCAGGCACCCTGTAGATAGGAGTGTTTTCCCATCCCCCGACAGATATTTGCTACTGTTAATCCCATTCCCCTCCCCCCCATAGTTCCCAGTACCATCAGTCATTTTCTTATAGTATTGCATTGGATGTTCAAGGTCCATTATATGAGTGAGAACATGTGATATTCGGATTTTTGTTTTTGTGAGAGGTCACTCAGTATTATAGACTCTAGTTCCATCCAGGTTGCAGCGAAATTCATGATTTGGTCACATAATTTTTAAGTGATAGGGCTAGACTTCACTCAGAAATCTATTAATATTCTTTCTTTGGATTGATTGTTTAACATCTTGACAAATATATTTCTTCATTCATTCATTGACGATTTATGGCGTACCAAGTCCTGCTAGGCTCTGAGGATACAGTGGAGAATGAGATGGCCATAAGGACTTAATTCTGCTTTAATTAATTAATTAATCACCTAGTCTGATTATCTAAATTTTGCCCTTTACTGATATCAATATTTGCTGTCTGCTATTACCTTGAATTATCACCTAGGAATGTTTTTTTACAGATTTAGTGTGTTTGGCATGACTTCTTGGGGGAAAGAATGCTGGATTTCATTGTTCTGTTTCTCACATAATCATATGACATTTTTCTGTCAATATATTCTACCTGAATGATTGACTTAGGAAATGGCTAAATATATGATTGCATATTCATATGAGGGAATATTATACAGCCATTATAAAATATATT